TTATTTTCTGGTATTTTATCTTCTCGTTTGTCATTATTGTGTTGCAATGCTAATTGTAATTTGGTCATCCAATCCATAAGTTCAGGCTCTGTATCTGAAGCTAAACAATAGCTTTTGTCAGTATCAGCCATCCGTAATTCAAAACAAAATCGGCCTTTTTTACTATTCTAAAAATTTAAAAACATTGTCAAGTATAAACAAAACATAATTTGTTTATTGTTAAATGATTATAAATATTTACCCGAATTACTTTGTCGCACAAATCCATAACAATTGTTGCTTTAGTATCACCTTTTTTATCATCCTTATAAACCTCTAATATGTATGTGCCATCCACTTGTTGTCTAAAAATGAATAATATTATTAAAATACATTTATATTTAAAGCAGTAAAAAAATATTTTATTTTTAGTTAAAACAATATTACTTAGAAAAAAACACTAAGTAATGATGTAAATAAATTTACTTCAATATACAAAAACGTCGTTTGAATGATTTAGAACCAGCTAAATTAGCAAACATTCGTTCTGAGGCACCTCCACCACCATCAGGACCTTTATATAAATACCCTTGTTTGAATAAGGCACTATCGTTTTTTATTGTTTTCCAATCCTTTTAAGAAAAAATTAATTTAATTGTTTTACAATATAATAACACCACACAACATAACAATAATTATATTACTTTATCTAATCCGTCTAGGTCTGTATCAATCTCATAAATTTCTTCTTTGAAATCGTCATTTTTGAATACCCTAAAAAAAATTTGAATGAGTGCTAAGTATGCAAGATTGATAAATACTGTTTAAATTAATATAAAAAAATTATAAAACATAATTACTCTGATGGAAATTGAATATATGATCCTGAATATGCACTATATTTATAGTGTATAACATGCCAATTAGCTAAGTAACTTTCTATACATCTTTTTGTTAAAAGTGAGCAATCTGTAGTATCTGTGTTTGAAGGAATACTGGGGTCCATAGTACGATATCTTCTTGGTAAAACTACTTGCTATATAAAAAATAAAATAAAATAACGATCAAACAAATATTGTATAATTAGTTAATGTAATTGAAGTTTTTAAATTTGAAATGTTTGATTTAGTTATAAACTTACTGAAACATCATCCGAAGGATAAAGTAATAATTCTCTTTGAGGATCATTCTGAAAAACTGTATGGTTCTTAGCAACATAGTCTTCAAAGTCTAATGGATCTACTTGAAAACATTTCTGCTGTCAAAAATAAATAATATTATTTATATATTATTTATAAATAAAGTAATTAGAATTTATAACATTTTTGAAAACTGTAAAATAAGAGTGTAAATTACATTTTTATTTTATTAATAATTTTTTTAATTAGATGCACTTTTTATAAATAATTGGATAATGTATGAAATTTTATTTTCTGAATCAAGGTAAACTTTAAGACTGAATTTTTCATTCAACTTAAAATTTTAAAATTACTTTTATTGACTTAAAAATTCAAGATTCAAAATCAACATTTCATACTTTAATTATATGCTTAAAAAATCTAAATATTAGAAAAATAAAAAAATAAATAAAAATTAATAATATTTGAAATTAGGATAGTTAAAGCCCAAGGTAAGGATATTTTTGATAAACAGTCTAATTATTCTATGTTATATTATTTAATTAAAGAGTTGAAGTTAAGGAACCTCAGACATACCTTAGGTATATTATAAAACATAAAAAAAAGTCTTGTCAATAGTATTCTTCAATTATTGAAAAAAATAAATTTATCATGCGATACCTACGTATAAAAACATCAAGTGTAATAACCTAATATATTCAGCAATAATTGATTAAAAATTAGTTCAAATTATATCTAAAAATGAATTAGAATTATTTAATTATAGAAAAGTTTTGTATTAAGAATTTAAAAAAAATATATTTTACATAAATGAAGAAAATTTACTAATTAAAACTTACGTTATTTGAGCTATCGCGAACAACTTGAGATACAGTTTCTCGTAGTTGAGCCGCCATACCTGGCCGCCCTAAGCCTTTGGTGAATTTTCTTTCTCCCATATTCAATACTGAACTCAACTAATGTTTAAAGTGAAATATAAATTACAAGCAACAAAAAGATACATTTTTAAATTCATAATAAATAGTAATTAATTTTAATAATGAGCAAGGAAATTGTAAACGTTAATAATGCAGTAATGTTGAAACTTGATGTAATATTATTAGTAATACTGAGGTTTATGAGCAATAAAAAATAGTTTTCAAATAGCTTTATTTTAAAATGTCACTGAATTTCGGCTGTCGCCTCTAAGCCTTCTATAATTGCATAATTCAATAATATATGCCGCGTACCGATAATGATAACGATAATCATTATTGATAATATGTGATAAGGCGCTAAGATCATTTTGAATTTTGAATGTTGATATTTTAAACAATATTTTGCATCTACTTGAAAACAAATGATTAAAGATAAAAATTGTTTAATAATAACTGATAGTGTAAGTGCCAAATGTCATTAAGTGGTGACTGGTGTCTGGTAGATTATCCTACTAAAGCCGTTATTAAAAATAATAATTATAATTACATAAAAACAATTAAAATTTTTTTTCGCAAATCTCTATATAGTCCTTGTTGTTATGCCCTTGGTTTGTAGTTTGCGTTTTTATTGTTTTATTCACCAAAAATTATATTACTTAAAGTGCATTGGATATATTTTATTATATAGGATTTTGCACTTCTTGCATTTATTGTTTGTAAATTTATATTGTATAATGATAAAATTAAACACAACGTTTGACCACATATTTTAACATTTTTGGTAGGTATACTTGATATTTTTGGAAAAAACCTACCTAGGTATTTAAAAATTGTTAACTTATTAATGCATTTTTTCATTTAATTATTTTTATAAATTTTATTTTATTATTGGACGTCGGTCAATATCATATAATTTTAAAGAAAATTAGTTTAATTTAATTTAAATTGTACACAATTTTACAATTTTTATAGCTAAGTTTTAATAAATTAATACAAGGTTTTTCAGTTTCTCTTAAGTAGATCTTACTGAAACCCAAACATTTTTAGAATTTATAAACATAATTTTTTTTTCTTAGACATTTTAAATTTAAATTTTGAAAAAGATCTTAAAAACTAAAAAATTAAGATTTTAATTATTTTTGTTTAATTCAATAATATTATTTGTGGAGACTGGAGACCGAATTTTTTACACATTATTATAATTTATTAAATGCACAGTGACATTTTTAAAATATTTAGATATTGCATATAAAATATACTACAAGTAGATATACCTAATATCATACCGTTCTATGAAAAGTCTTGTATAAAATTTGGCTAATAACCAAATAGTATATGATATAAACTATAAATACTATTATACTCGTATATTACCTAAATAATAAATGCTATTTTTTTTTTTGGAAAAAATAAATCAACCTACGATATTAATATAATAGTAAAATAAATTATTATAATAGCGACATAATAACAAATTTACATAATACTAATATATCTAATAAGTAATAATATAGGCTGACTGATTGACATCTCCGGCTAAAATAATGTTTTAATAATTTAACTAATCTATCACAGCAGTACGCGGTGACCTACTCAATGACAAAGTCCACTCGACACCTATGACTAAACAGCACAGTGATAGTCATTTACCCACTTTTTAATACTTTTAAATTTTAACAAAGTAAGTTTACTACTTACTAGTAAGTATACTAGTTACTAGTATCATATATTCATATGTAGATAGTGGCTAATAGGCTATTAGGTAATAGCTAATTATAGCTATGTTAATTGTGAATACTACAATTATTTGTTGTTAACTCATGTATAAAAATTGTTTTAAATCATGAAAAATAAAAATAATTTGACTAAAAAAAAACATTAAAGAGCTTATTAAAATTTAAAATACCGAGTTATTAGGAAATAAGAAAATATAATTTATTTAATACTTTATTAGGAAATATCAATATCTTGTTTGCTCTTGCTTTTTAATGATTTTCGAAGTGGTATTCTTTAAACTTTATTGTTATACTTTTTGTACCTAATTATTATTTCTTAAGTTTTGATCTTATGGAAAGACGCCATCGTCACTTATGATAATATATTCTTTCCACAGGCGTGACTACGTGAGCACACTCTAAAAGTAGGTAGATAGACGTGTAGTGTTCATATAATCATATATATTAAAATAGGTATTCTATATAAAAACTACCTATTTGACTTTTTTGAACTTAATGTGTTTTTAATGTAGATACGTGTAATAAAAAAATACAAGTTGCACACATAAAAAATTTTAATATGTTATAATACTAGTCAGTAGTCTCAGTACCTACCTAGTCACTACTCACTAAACTGCATACGGACCAGACAATCAACTACAGAGTGCACACAGTGAATTATTCTAATTTTTCAAATTTGCTTTAAAAATATAATCCCAAATTTACTTTGCTGGGTATATTTATTATAAATCAATATAAAGATAATTTAATTAAGGCATTGTGTCCTTCGGCTCATAAAAAATCGTAGAACGCGCTTGAGCACACTCTGCGCGCTCTGTATGCATGTCTATGACGATAGATGGCCTACAATTATTATTAATAATAATAAATAATATATTATGGGAAAAATTATATAGATTCGTATTAAAATCATGGACCCTACCCAGTGAAGTGTGAATTACTTTTCGTGCAATAGATTTAAGAGTTTGGCATAGACCTTATACTAGGTCTATGGAGTTTGGTCTCTTTATCTCTAGTCTTCGTAGTTTATCCTTATCGTAATATTTGTAAGACATGGTGTATTTATTGTGATAAAAAATATGATGTATTATCATATTTTAGTATTATCATTTATCATTGAATACTGATAAATGACTATAATATTATTATTATTATAAAAATTGAAATTTTACAATACTTATAATTTTTTAAACCGTTTAAAATATATAATATGTTCAATAATTTAAATGTTATGCTTCAATAGTTTTGATTTTCTCACGTTGTTTATTTTATTAGTCTGAATTTATTAAATATTAAAATGAATTCCAACAAAGCATTAGAAACAGTACGAAAAATTTTGAATTTTTCAATCAAACGTAATGGACATGATAGAGTTTTGGAAAAGGTATAATTAATTTAATTACATAGTTATTAATAGTAATTGGTGACTAACTTTCTAATTAATTGAATGTTATACTACAATATACCTGGTGTATTTACATTTTTTAACATTTTTATATATTAATATTATTTAAACTTTGAATGTGATAGGAGGTAGGTATGTACTTGATGTATTAAGTATTTTTTATATTTATTATACAGTAGACGCCGCTTAAAAGACTCACTTTGAGACCAGCACAAAGTGAGTCTTATAACCGAATGAATCTTATAGGCGAAGGAAGTGGAAAAAAAAAATTAATTACGTATTTATAAATTTTATTTTACTACATATTTTGCTTTGATTTTAATACATTAACACATATTACATATTACATACTTTATTATTGAATAAATTTAATAATTCTGATAAAAAAACTAAAATTATAATCGTTATAATTATCGTTGCGATAAATGTGAACTTTTATCTGCGATAAAAATTATTATACGTTATAAGGTACCAACAGAAACTAGAAATAATCAACACGAATATTATTTCATTTTTCAAAACCAATTTATTTCTAAATTATAACCAAAAAAGTTTTTTTTACTATTTATTTTATGAAATTTGAGTCTTATAACCGAAGTGTTGAGTCTTAAAACCAATTTTTTTTTAATGTATTTGGATATGTCCGGACCGTTCCAGACGATTTTGAGTCTAATAAGCGACTGAACCTTATATACGTGAGTCTTATAAGCGGCGTTTACTGTATAAGGAAACTTTAGGTACTCAAAGGTTGAATGTATGAATAAAAAATAAAAAAAGGTGATACACAATATGTACCTACTCACTTATACACATTATACATAAACTTATAGTTTTAAAAAGTGATTGGTTATAAACTAAAAACATTATAACTGATAAGTAATGTAATCATTTACTATAGATACTATAATGTACCTATTGTTCATTTCAGTAAATTAACTAGATATAAAAAGTAGCTAGGATATAAATTACATTTTTTTTTTAAATTCGAAGAAGAGGGTATTACTCAATTCAGTCCCTATAACTCTCTTTGTATTTTCTCCTGTAATTTCTTACCAACTTTTTGATACTCAATGAAATAAGTCATTTTAAATTTTTAATATAATTTTTATGTAAGATAACAATATTAACTTAATATGTATTACCTGGTTATAAATGTAAAGTAATATCCAACAATATCTCAATTGTGATTGGCTAACTAAAACTTCTAGTTTGATTGAATGCAAAAATATTAATATTAGTAAGGTATACTAATACATGTTTTTTTTAATGATATTTTCAAGTCCAATAAAATAATAAATTAAAGACAAATTAAATTTATTCTATACTTATAAAGGTGAATATAACATCAGTTGGAAATGGCCAATGTATTGCTGAGATGGTTGTTGAAAAACAACATACAAATGCGTATGGTACACTTCATGGAGGTTTTACAGCTTCCGCTGTAGATATTTTGTCTAGTATGGCTATGTTGACTCATCCACGAGTTGTTGAAAACATTGATTCAGCACCTAACAGTGGTGTTTCAGTTGATATTCATATTTCGTATGTATATTATGTTACAATTATTTATTTTTTTTAATATGTATAAGGTGAAAATATTTATAATTTATACTATACTCTATTCACATTTAGAAATGACCCAAATGGCTAACTTTAGCAACATGGATGTTTGATGGTTGATTAAGTAGGGGAAACAGCCATGCGTGACCTGTATGTCACCGACAAAAACTGGTCATTTCTAAATGTGAATGGAGTATAAGTTTATTACTTTAAAACTTTTTGGTATATAGGTTAGGAAATAATATGTATTTATAAATATATGTATTAGTGCCTCCATACATGCTTGTTCAGTAAAGCTTCCATTATCTTCTTGTGAAAATAACAAAAAATATTAGATAAAATCATGTTTAATATTTGAAACTATTACATTTGTTTTCGATCAATATAACTAATAACAACATATTATATTATCAGTTTTATACTTATAAAATATATTAAACAAATTAAACTTAATATTGTATATAACTTTATAACTTTTATTCATTTTGTTATTCTTTGTTTTAGGTATTTAAATTCAGCAAAAATTGGTGACCGAGTAGTTATTAATTCTGAAACTATTAAACTTGGAAGAAATTTAGCATTTCTAAAAGTAACATTGCTCAGGAAAGATGATAATGTTGTTATAGCTCAAGGTACACACACTAAATTTGTGGGATGATATGAAATATTTGGTACATTATGTAAAATGAATTGTTTGAAAACAAATAAATGTTATGGTAATAATTTGTTAGTAATCTTAAAAAATAAATTTATTTCAGTTTTATAGTTGTTTTTAATTGTTTTTTTTATTATACTTACCTTTAAACAACTTTTTAGCTTTTGTATTGTTTACTGAGATAGTTTTTACTATTAATATTGTACATTTTTGCATTAAATCTTTCAAGTATTTTTAATTAACTATTTAAATGTATAATTATTTTTTTTTAGAAACAAAATAAATGCTTTATTTTGATTAAAAATTTAGAACTGGAAAATTTTGGATTTTTTCAAAATTTGCTACCTTTACAAAGTAGTATAATTATATGAAAAATATTTGAAATTCCTTAATAAAATACAATTGTTTTATTTTGAGTTATTTAAATTTGTTTATCAAAATATGATATAGTATTAGTTATTGATGCAAATTTTTTTAGTGATGAGTTTTTTTTAAATTTTAGGAAAATTTGATACAATCAGAATTTATTACATAAAAATATGTAAACTAATGAAACACAATTATTGTAAAATTATGTAGCACTAGTTTTCATTGTTCCTTTGTTTTACCTAAAATATAAAAATTTGTTTCAGAAATAACTTTCTACAGACAACTTGTTTACTTAGGTCTAAAACTATAACATTTTGTAAGTTATTATAATGCTTTCTTGACTGCTTGACTTTATAACAACTATTACAGGTTTATTCTTTACACATTAGTTCTAAAATAAATAAAGTCTAAAATAAATGTAAAAAGTTGTGTTTTATAAATATCTAAATGTAATTATTGATTTATACACATTTAACATTCAAATTATACAAAAATGTTATTTGTAAATCATCGCATTTGAAAAATAATCCTAAGTGAAGCTCGGTCTAACAATGAATCATCGTTCATCAATGTCTAGTTATAGTTATAACTTATAATTTAGCTTGCTTAAATGTTTTCTCTACACAAAACCTTTTTTAACATAATCTCGAACAACTACATAAGATATTATATTAACATAAGTAGATATATGTGATGTATATATATATATATATATAATACAATCATACTACAAAGCCAAGTAAAACCAATATTATTTATTACTTCGGTATTATATACAAACATTTTATAATGCCTATCCTGTGCAGTTAAAGGCGTAATTAATGTAGAAAAATATTGTTTTCCTTCTTCCCTAAAATGAATGCGTTAAAACTTTCATAATATTGTTCTTATTTACAGTTTGCATAAAAAATAATTGTGCTTATTATAGATTTTCAATCCCAGAAATGATGTATTTATTCTTAATAATAAAAGGCTACCAAATTATTCAACAGATAATATTCATTTTGATTATTTTATTACATTGGTTTACATTTTTCAATTGTATTTTTATTGTTAATATTATTACGTAAATACAAACTTTAAAATAAACATCTCTATAAAGTCAAAATATGACTGTGAATTAATTTCAAAGATCATCATCGTAATTATAAATAATAAATATATCTATTTAAATTATACGAATAGTTTTATTCTTATGCATATAATATAGCATAATAATCTTTACTATATATTTGTAGGTATAAACTAATTTATTTTTAAGATATTTTAAATTAATAACACAAATAAATACAATGATTGATGGCCTACTCAAAAGAGCATGTTTTTTTGTATTTTTAAATGAAACACGAAATTTTAGAATTTGTATATTTAAGAACGATTTCATGAATTATTTATGTTAGGTAATTCATTTTTCATTTAATGAATAAAAATATTTTAATATGTTTTATTATTTGTGATTTTTTTTGTTTAAAATATAACTTCCTTATAATTTCGATAAAAATGTTGTACTTTTGAAGCGAAAAATATTTAAAACTTTTATGCTTTAAAAAGAAACTGAGTATGTATTTTTTATATTTTAAAATTGCATTAAGAACAACTTATATACAAGTAGGTTCTTGAATTAAATTTTAATACTTTTAGCAATTAAAAAAATTCGCTAATTTAAAAATTGTAAGTATAAATACATTAACATTTTAAAAATATTAATGAGCATGAATGGCAACTGATAACTTAAGTAGGAATGAAATATTTCAAGTTTTCATGCTTAATATTTTTTAAATAAAAATTCCTTATTTCCCCTATACATATTCAGCTATACCAAAGTTATTTTAGACGCAAATAATAACATAATGTGACTTTTTCAAATTCTTGTATGAAAAATTTATTAGATACGTTTGATAAAAAATGAATTTTAATTGAACATTTTTGAACTAAAAATAAAAAATTATTAACTTAAATCGAAAATGGTCTTGAATTTCATGTCTTTATAAGAATCACGAAAAAGCTAAATTATTTAAAAAATTGTAATATGACTAGAAAATATTCATATAAATGTTAGTAAAAATTCAAGACTTCTTTTTTAACAAAAAAAAAATCAATATTGTTGAAAACGGGTGTTTTGTAAATATTCCTAATACTTACCTAAACTTATTCTCATTTTCCGTAATTTTGTATACTTATTCCCAGATAAAGAATATAAATTAAACTAAAATGTATGTAATTAAAAAAAAAAAAAAACAAATCATTGTTAAAACATTACATTTATCATTCTGTTAAGAGTTAAAAATAAAGTCTTATTTGTATATTATTATTTCTTAACTCACATTTTCTATCGGTACCTGAGCAAATATACATGAAGAGTTTTGAGGCCTCTAACCATTTTTAATAGTAACTCAACACTTGAATTGAATTATTTATAGGTAGGTACTACCTATAATATATACTTAATATTTCATATTAAATCACGTTAATCTACATTCACATTTTGTTATTGTTGTCAATATCATCTATTGAATGTTAGTATAGTTGTTTGAGACTTGTTATATAGGTATTATAGTCTCTATTCACTATTCTCAAGTTTTTTAATTATTGTTGTCTATAATAATTAATATAATATTCAATGTATTTAGTAGTTACATACAGATATCTATATAATAATTTTAATTACTATTTGCTACACATTCATCAGTACCTACTCATTTCTATTGTCTAATGTCTATTTGTAAATATGCAAATGAAACTGTGTTTATTTGATTACACATCAAATTAATAATAATATTTTTTCATGTATATTTGTGTTGTATTTTTTTCTATGAAAAATATCGTATTAAATTATTTTACCTATTCTATATGGAATGATATAATTAATTAAATATAAATGTATACCTATGGTATACGAATTACAAGTAAATATATCATATAATCAAAAAATACATTGATTTTATATACATGGATACATATATTTTTAATGTATTTTTTTAGAGATAAATCCTACACTCCATCAAAGTTTATTTTTGAAGTATCATAACTAATATTATATTAATAGATAGGCAAATAGGAACATTATTATATAATTATTTAATACCTATTTAAACCAATATTTCTATACTATATAAATATATAAATATTAATAATAACATAATATAACAAAAAAGGTGTAGGCGTCGCGTATATTATGTGCAAACAATTTAAGGTGGAAATTAATAACAGTAAACAATGCAGATTATTTAATTAAAAGGTAATAGGTACATAGTAAAACATTCTAAATAAACTTCCAAGGGGTAGTTGTGAACGTCTGAAATTACTTTATTTTCGTTTTCGCTTAACCGACATATCCATTAGCAAACGAAGGACGAGTCTTTTATGTGTACTCGACTAGACGGAAACATGATACCGAACTCCCATCTTTGTTTTTCATACGAAACGGAAATGGCTACTATTATCCGCTTTGCTAGTAAGTAAATATTACCAGGTTTCTGTTTGATTGGCTATTGGCGTGGTCGATTATATATTAGTTGTATTATGAATGACCCTTTTTCAATGTATGTAGAAGATAAAAGCTTGCAAATAGAGTACCACGTTATATTGACAAACTCTCTTTCTATCTCTTTCTCTCTCTCTATATATATATTATAAACGTTTTTAAATTTTTATTTTTAGGCATTTATTTAATTTGAAATATTTATTAGAATATCAATGTTAAAATAGTTAACTTGATATATATATATATATATTAAAAACGGAATTTTTGAGAACAAAACGTGTTCGGTGTTGGGCGTGCAGATAGTATAGGTGAATTATTAATACAACTGAAGAATCGTGTGATGCGCGCCAACGGTCATAATTTAATAAAAAGCATAAAGTACTAAGGAAGGGGTGTCCCGCTTCGAGTTTTATTGTTATTAGTGAGGTATAGAGAAGTGTAGAGTGACTGTGTAAATAATTTTTGAGTGCCCGAGTGTCCAAACAAAACCACATCCTCGGACTAGGCACCTGGGACCTCACACGACGTTGCGCCGGCTTCTTGGATTCAGTCCGTTCATGTATAATGATAATAATAATAATATAATATATAAGGCGAACCATTATAAACCTATTTCATTCATAGTTTTTATAATGTGTACCTGAATTAACGTCTTAGAGCTCTCCCACCCTTTCAATGACATTTGAAAAAAAATATTCATGTCTCAAGATAGAAATTTCACTATATTTCTATAGCCCTTATATATATATAAGCATATAAATAATATGTAAATATATTATAGTCATCGTCGTTTAATATATAAAGAACGTTAGAGTGTAAATATAAGGTGTATATTCAATTTATATACCTACCTACCTACCTACAGAAGCATATAAGAAAATAAAAACACTCAAAATTATAATTCATTTAATTATAATACAATTTAGCTACTGCCTATATACTGTCGTACTACTTATTGACAAAATATTAGGTTCTTTTCAAATATTGATTTGGCCATTCTTAAAGAACATTTTGTCATAATAGTTTTTATCAAATTTGATGGTATTTATTTACAAAATAATAAAAATACTATACATTTTATAATAGTATACATAATATTACGAGTACCTATTACGAACATGTAATTTGTAACAATTGTATCTATATTTTAATCAATTACATAACCAAAATTAAATTGTATTATAATTCACGAATATCGTATATTATTATGTCATATAAATATTTA